GATGAATTAGATAAAAAATAAAATATTAATAAAAATGACTATAAAACTGTGAAAAATAAACATTTTCTGTGAAATTATTGCAGTTTCCACATTTTAATCAAACAAAATATCAATTAACTATTTGGCACTGTCTCCAGCTTTCAGATTGACGAAACATTAATGAACCTATTGCAGAGTGTCCACATTTGAATCAGACAAAATATCAAACTTCAGTCAGCATGCAATGGTGGTCTCTGAAGTAAGCTTTTTTTGGGAAAGTGAGAGGCAGGTTCTTGATGAAAAGAATCATCTCATGCATATCAGCTGGTGAGCCTGTTTCTGCATTTCAGCTTCACAATGTGTGACACTGAGCTGAACAGCCTTTCACTGTCAACACTAGTGCAAGGTGCTGAAAGGTTGTGAACCGCACTTTATTAACTATCCAGTATTGTAGTGGATTGTCTTCTCGTGAAATTGTGGCCTCTCCAAGATATGTCTCTAACTGTACACTAGAACCTACTGCAGCTCTGCCCACTGATGCTGATGCTGATGAAATTTCATCAAATATGCTGTCTAGACTACTAGTGAGCTGGTCACTGCATGGTTTTCTTGAAGGTGGTTCATTCAGGTCATGCTTGTCCGCTTCTCCAGGCAACCTTAGCAGCTCAAGTTTTAGCATCTCTTTGGCATTTGCAGCAGTTGTGGTGCTGTAGAAAAAATGATTTTTATACCTAAAACAGAGAAAGAAAAAATTTAGCCGACAATAGGCATTCTTGCCATTTTAACACAGTCACACACAGTCACAATCACACAGTACAGTCACACAGTACAGTCACACAGTTACAGTCACACAGTACAGTCACAGTTACAGTCACACACAGTCACATAGTACAGTCACACACAGTCACACAGTTACAGTCACACACAGTCACACAGTACAGTCACAGTTACAGTCACACACAGTCACACAGTTACAGTCACACACAGTCACAGTTACACACACAGGCACACACTCACCTGGGATCGAGTAGCGTGGCGATGCTGTAGAGTGGGTTTTCCTCCACATCAGTGAATCGCTTCCTGACAGCTGCAGCCAAGGATTCCTTCATTCCTTTGATCCCATGGTCCTCATCAGTCTCCCTTGTTAGAAATCTGTGCAGCACAGTGACTGCTGGAATGACGTCTGCGGCCATGGCATCTGAAGAGCTAACTTTTCGAGTTAATTCCTCTACGGACCCAGAACAGATAGCACCTTCTCCAGCAGTGTCCACTTGTGAGCCGAGTATCAGGGAGTCCATATTCAGACACGAATATTACCAGAGACCGTTTCTGCTCAATCAATGACTCATATAAAAGGTGCTATTCCAGCGGGTCTGTATGTCTTGCTGGAGCCGCTTCACAGGCTGGTTGATCTCTAATTGAATGTCCTCGAGGCAGGAGTTGGCCAGAGCAGAATGTTTAAAATGCCCAACTATTTTGCGGCCGACTGCCACCGCATCAGCAACACTCCTCTGTGACAGAAGGCCCTTGTGAACCACCAGCTGGAGAGTGTGAGCAGTACAAGGTAGGCTGGGCAGCTCAGCATCACTCATGGCCTTTATCATATTTCTTGCATTGTCTCGGAGCACTATGTGGACGGACGTCTTCGGTACGTCCCAGGTCTGGAGCATGCTATCGAAAGCACCTGCAATGGTTTGGCTGGTGTGCGAGCCCCGGAACGACTTTGCATGTAGTGTGACTTGATGACGAACGAACTCCTCATCAATCCACTGCGCCGTTAAACTGAGCAGTGACATCGGGCACACACTGCTTGTCCAAATGTTCCATAGTGAAAACTTAAGGCTGAAACCTTGTTTTCTCACCATGTTGCACACGTGTTTTTTTACTCGTCAAAAGTTTTGGCACCATAATGTCCGTGATGTAGGCGCTGGGAATCTCATATCGCGGCTCGAGTGTGCTGAGAAGACGCGGCGAATCCTACTTTTCCACAACTGACAGGGCTGGTCAGTCCAGAGCAATAAAATGTGCAGAGGCTCGTTATTTTAACTGCCCGTGGATTTTCTCTTGACATTTTTTCTCGCTTTTCCAAAACCTGAGTTAAAGTTGGCTGTTGTGGTTTTGCATTAGCCTTAGTAAACTCGGTGTCCTCAGATGTTTTATCAAATTGCTCGTATTGAACGACGTACTCTCCTTCCCTCCCCTGGACACCTTACCAGTACACAGTTTGCACTCTGCCTTGCTTCTGTCATCGTCGCATATTTTGAAGTGAGTCCACACTGCTGACATGCTGTTCGCCTAATGCTCCTGCCAGATTTTATTTAATTTTTTGAAGCCGCCAGTCTCACTTGCCTAACCACACTGTTCCTGATTAGCTCGACATCTCCCCTAGCCGTCAATCTAAAAAATACAACAAAAATGACAAGCCACCCTCTGATTGCGGTCTTCATTCAAAGCAATTGCATGTAATAAATTGGTATCGGTTCATGGTATCGATTAACTTTAATGAGTACGAGTACGAGTATATTAGACTAGTATCGGCCCGATTACCCGATACCAGTAGCGGTATCGGTGCATCCCTAGTTTTAACTAAACAAAAATCCAGAGTTAATACTATTTCACACTTCCACATATCTGGCTAATCACTGCATAAAGTGAGTGTGCTTGTGGGATTGTCTGTTTCAGAACAAAAATTGGACACAACTCTGGAGACTTTCAGATGCACTTAACTTGAAGCAGACTGAGGCTGTGAGCAGTCCTTACTTAGGGTCCAATTTCAAAATATGTTATTGGTCCCTCAAGAGACTATTTGAAGCCAGTGAGACACAAATACACACAAATAATTCAATAACAGACATAAAACATATAAAAATACAAAATATAATAAAGAAAATATAATGCTTAAGGATTAATTGCAGTGGCCAAACAATATC